CAAGCAAGTCTCCTGCCTCCGCCTCCGAAGTTGCTGGGATCACAGGCACCCACCACAACGCCTGGCTATTTTTTTTTTTTTTTGGTTGCAGCCATTGTTGTTTGGCGGACCGGGGCTGGATTCAAACTCACCAGCTCAGGTGTATGTGGCTGGTGCCTTAGCCACTTGAGCCACAGGCACTGAGCCTGCAACTGGGTTTGAACCTACCACCCTTGATATATGGGATGGATGCCCTACCCAACTGAGCCACACGCGCTGCCCTGGAGGTGAAAATTTAAGGGAAGCAAGGCAGGGAGGAGGGCGGCAGACATGGGCCATGTGACCTTCTGCCAACCACCTCATCACTGGAGAGCCTGGCTCCTTCTAGTGCATTTGCAGGCCACAGAAAAATAATGCCTAGGGAGGGAGGAGGAGCAACATCTCTGCCAGCTATGCCCTGTCTAATCTCTTCTCTCTCATTTGTGCCACCTGGCCTTCTGGGCAGCCCCTGCAAAAACCAGCACCCCCGTGGGGCCAAGGGGGAAGAGGCACTGCAGCTCCCTCTGCACCAGGCCAAGGTTGTCTTGCTCTCAGGGAAAGGCTGGGACACCTTGAAGACAGAGGTGCCCAGAGCTTTACCACCAGTCCAAAAGCACACAGGTTGAAAGCCAAGGCCTAGGGGGAGGTAAAACCGAACAGACCTGGGAAGACCCAAAAGTTGGGTCCTAGTCACCCCTAAACCTGCTACATTGTCTTCTCCATCTCACTGATGCACAGAGCAACTCCCAACAGTCTCCTTTGGCTCCTTCTCAACTTAGGAATTCTCTCATTCTATCTTCAAGGGATCCAGCATCCTCTTCTCTTATCTCCACCTCCACCAGGTGAGCCTTCTTCTCAGGTGACACTTGGCACTTGGGTGACCCCTCTAGGTTCCTAACCTTCACCTGCCTCATCCTGGCTCACCACCTGAAAGGACTTTTCAGAATTCATATCACTCCCTGACATCCCTGGCTCCAAATGCTCTAAAAGCTTCCCATCACAGTGACTAGAAGTAAAAGCCATGTATTTGCTGGAGCCTTGCAAACTTTATGCTGTCACTTCCCCTTGCCTCTGACCCCGTGCAGTTATTCTAGCCCCCTCTGCCCCAGCCCATCAGCCTTACTGTTGCTGGAATAATCTGGCCTGCTCCGACCTCGGGACCTCTTCTCCTAAGGAACCAGAACCCCCAGCAGGAGAGCACAGCTGAGTACAGAAGGCCAAGAGCAAGCCCTGTCCCTTGCTGCAAGCCCCAACACAAAACATACTGAAACCAAATCCTCAGTCACTTCTCAGTGTTTTATTTTTGACCTCAAACTTTGAGGAACCTGCCCCCATGAATCCTTTACTGATAGGCTTGACACAGCTATCGAAGGCCCAGGCAGAGTAAAGGAGTGTGGTTTGTGGACCTTTAAAGAACCCTGCCTGGGCTTCCCAGTAAGGACCGAGCAGAGAGCTTAGTCCCCAGGCCTCATTCTTCAAGTGGACAGGACAAAGCCACTGGACACCACAGGCACTGCAGGTGTCCCCAGCTACAATGTGGGAAAGTAATGACCTGGCCTCAAGAGGCAGCCACAGGGAAACCCAGCTAGGCCGGCTGTCTTCCAATATGAAGAACCAGGAGGCAGGAACTGGAGTGAGCAGGAAGTTGCAACCTGTATACTAAACGGTATCCTAGGCTGCTCCCACCTCCCTCACCTGCAGTCCCATAGGGTGTGGACTTAGAAGTCAGTAGCATGCCTACAGTGGGCATCTCCACTTTTTTTTTTTTTTTTTTTTTGCAACAGTCTTTGTTGCTCTGGGTAGTAGAGTGCTGTGATATCACAGCTCACAGCAATCTCAAACTCTTGGGCCCATGTGATCCTTTGTCTCTGCTTCCCAAGTAGCTGAGACTATAGGTGCCCACCATAATACCTGGCTAGTTTTTCTATTTTTAGTAGAGATGGGGGTCTCACTCTTGCTCAGGCTGGTCTCAAACTCTTGAGCTCAAGAAATTGACCCACCTCAGCCTCTCAGAGTGCTAGGTCTATGGGTGTGAGCCACCATGACTGGCCCTCCACCTCTTCTTCAAACCTGAGATGGGCAGAACCCCAAGGGCAGTGTACTGGTGACCACCCAACTCAGATACAACAGGCTCTGGCTCTGTTCACTTTAATGAGTATTCTGCCCCTCTCTAGCCAGGCCACCCCATGGGCCCTAGCTGGCCACACTCTAGTCACAGGAGCCGTCCTTCCAGCCGTCGCGCCAGCGCTCATCCACTTTTGAGCAGTCAAAATCAGGCTTGCCCAGTTTGCGGTTCACCTCATTGTGCAGGCGGCATAGCCACTGAGAGAAGCATGCCCGAGTGCGAGTGTCTGGCTGGTTCCTACATATCCTGTATGGGGGGAGCACAAGAAGGATAAGAGGCAGTGGCTCCACTGTCTCTGCCAGCTGCCTTGCCTGCTCCCAAGAGAAGAGAGTTAAGGCACTCCTTTGAGCTACACTTAGGAGTGCCTTCATGCTCTAAGACAGGCATCCTCAAACTGTGGCCTGCCTAGGACATTTATCTGGCCCGCTGGGTGTTTTTTTTTTTTTTTTAGATAGAGCCTCAAGCTATCCCCCTGGGTAGAGTGCCGTGGCATCACCGCTCACAGCAACCTCCAACTCCTGGGCTCAAGTGAGTCTCCTGCCTCAGCCTCCCAAGTAGCTGGGACCACAGGCGCCCGCCACAACGCCCGGCTATTTTTTAGTTGTAGCCCTCATTGTTGTTTGGCAGGCCTGGGCTGGATTCAAACCCTCCACCTTAGGTGTATGTGGCTGGCGCCTTAGCCACTTGAGCCACAAGCGCCAAGCCAGCTGCTGGGTGTTTTTGCTGCCGCTGCCTGTCCTGCTTAGCAGCCGACTGGTCCCAAGGCCCGCAGTCCGGCTCTCCAATGGTCTGAGGGACAGTGAACTGGCCCCCTGTTTAAAAAGTTTGAGGACCCCTGCTCTAAGGAATAGGAATTCCCAGAACAGGCCTGACCCCGCAGCTTCCCGGGACTGCTCTAACACCCACCTGGGGAAATTGGCAAACCCTAACAAGGGCCCAGGGCAAGACTTTCAAAAACAGACCTGGCAACTTTACAACCTTATTAACAATTAGGAAGCCTCATCCCTGTGTCCCTGTGGCCCCAGGCAGAGCGTAGAAGAGGTGGGGCTGGATACAATTGCACACAGGAAAACTAAACTTGCTTCTTAGCACCTGATTCCCTGAAGCAAAAGACCTCATTCTAACTGCCCAGGCAGATCTGTGCCACATATCCAGCCTGGAAACAACTACAATAGCCCATCCAGGGCTCTTGGGTGCCTAAATAAGGAAAAGGTGGTTTTAGGGAACAAAAGCAGGGGGTTCCTAAGGTCTTAAAACTAGTAGTCCTGCTCGAGATGTCAGACAAAAGTGTTCTAACTTGCTCCTAGCCTCCATCAGGGCTAAACAAGGGAGAGAAAGCCCCTCCTGGGAGCCAGCAAAACCAAGCAATGCTGGGCAGCAAATCCAGGCAGCATGCCTGGCCTTTGAAGAGAAAGGAGAAGGCTTAAATGATCCCAGTACCCACACTATTGGTGGTCCCTGCTCCTCAGCAACCCTCTGCCACTATTTCTCTAGACTACCCCTTATGACATCAGCCAGAGGCCTCAGGTCCAGAATCCAAATGCAATGATCTGTTGCCTGCAGACACAGCTTACCTCTTCCTTAGGTCTTCGGCACACTCCTCACATGGGTAAAACTTGGAAAATAAATGTATGAATTGAGCCATGTCTTGCTGCTGTTCTGGGGTGGGCAGATCAGGATAGTAGGCAGCGAGGGTGTGGAGGACAGCCCAGCTGTGGCGACCCAGTTCCTCTCGATCCTGTGGACAATCCTCCCTAAACTTGTTGTCCCGCTGCAGCAGAAGTAGGCCAACTAAAGGTCAGTTCATTCTTCCCCAACCCGAAGCCCAAAAAGCTCCCCCTTTTAGCCCCAGCCGGTGGCCCACTGACTCCAGAAAGAAGTCTGCAGACGATCTGGCCCACGTATGGCTGGCTGAAAATAAAAGGCCAGGCCTACCCCAGGGTGGGCAAGGGTTAGGCCTAGCCAACTTGGGAGGGTAGGCCCTTGGGATGTGGGCCCAGGGCACCTAAGGACAAAGTGTGGGGTTGAGGGCTGGGATTGAGAGGTCGGACAGGGCATTTGAACCTTCGGCTGCGTCCGCATCCACCTCTTGAAGTCCACGCAGGCTCTGCAGGGCCGCCTCTGGGAGGTGTCCTCGGCGACCTGAGAATCGGAGGTCGCCGCCTGGGCTGGCGTCGGGACTGAGACGGCAGCGTCTCTCCGCCCCGCGCCCCGGCCCCGCGCGTCGGTTTCCAGGTCATCTATCACCTCCGAGCGCGCGCCGCCCGGCAAGAAGGAGAAGAGGTTGCTGCGGTAGAAGCGGCCACCCTCTCCGGGCGCCGCCATCTTGCTCGCGCAATGTCTGCCGGGCCAGGTCGGCCTCCAGAGGGGCCTCCAGGTCGGCCTCCAAGCCAGCGCGCGCGCTGCCGCCAGTGCGCGGCCACAGGAGCCTGGGATGCGCGCCGCCGGCGCGGAGGCCGGCCCCGAGTTGGGGCTGGGGGCAGAGTCTAAGGCGGGGCCCTGCGAGGGGGCGGTGCCGGCGGTCTGGGCCCGGGCCCTGGTCGGGGCGGAGCAAGAGGCCGGGGAGCGGGCCGAGGCGGAGCCGGAGGCCCGGGCCGGGGCTGAGGCGGGGCTGGAGGCTCGGGCCGGGGCAGGGGCGGGGCCGGAGGCCCGGGCCCTGCTAGTCCCGCTGGGCCTCGTTCCCCCGCCCGAGGGAGGCTTGCGTCGTCCGTGGCGTCGCTCCCGCTTCCTCCAGTAGAAGAGCAGCGTGTTGTGGAAGCTGCGCCGCGGTCGCGTTGTGCACTCCGGCTGAGGCCGAGGCGAAGTCCGTGTCGCGGCTCGCGCCGCCCCCATCGCTCCGCTTTGACCGTCCCGCGTGCCCGCGGCCAAGCTCTGTGTCCTCAGCTGAGGGGCCCGCCCGCCTGCCGGCTAGCTACCCAGCACTATGGCAACACGCGCCTGGCAACACGGGGCTGGGCATAATCGCACAGAGCCGGGTGCGCATTAGGACCCAGGGCCCGGCGCCAGGGCAACTTGGGCAACGCGGGGTGGGTCCGCGGCCGCAGAGGAGCTGTGCACCCGGGGTACTGTAAACCCACTAAGAGAGAACCTTGTGGACTCCTCTGCAACCCACTAAGAGAGAACCTTGTGGACTCCTCTGCCTCCGTGCGTTGGTTCATCCACTCTGCAAACACTCGTGCAGGGCCTGCTCTGTTTCAAGCGCTGTTCCAGGGGCTGAGGAGAGCAGGGAACGAGCCTCCGTTCCCTGACCATCCCAGTTCATAGGCTAGTGGCCAAGAGAGAAAAACTTGAGTCACTAATAAATCTTCACATACGAAATGTTGTGGGGGTAGTGCACAGGATGTAGTAAATCCAGAAGACATCCTTGAGAAGGCGACCCTTGGACAGAGGCCTGAGGGATGAGGAATCAGCTGAGGAGCACTTTCAAGGCCAAGCCCAAGCTGAGGGTCCTGGCATTTTGCAGTAGCATAAGGGACACTG